CGAAACTGTCCCGAAATTGTCCGAGGATTGAAAAATGGTCGGGATTTTGCAAACACTAATGAGTAGTGTTGCAAATTAGTTCCCTCAAAGTGGATTGTTTATGGGTCGTGCGTAGGGATTTCTTCAGAAAGCAGTTGTCTTTATGGAGTATCTGTCTTAAATTATCCCTGTGATTAGCGAATTCACAGGCAAAAGTATTACGTTTGCTTATAGGAATAATGCAAATTGGACTGATCTGGAAATTTTAGGTTGATGTTACTTGCATGGTCGTATCGTTTAGAAAATGAAGACGATGAAATGCGACGTCCACCGCCAAAATATTCAAGTTGTGTTCGTGGTGTTTACAGTAAAGAGAATATCAACTACTTACCTACTTATGAGGAAGCGCTGAAAAATATACAACTGAAAAAACAACATTACTGTAAGTTTATGCCATACTTTATTGTCAGCTTTACCAGCAGACTCGCTCAGATATCCCGATCTGATTCGACCATATTGCAAAATGAGCGATATCCCTGCATCACACTAGAATCGACCTTACCAAACACCATCTTCTATCATACAGTTGGTCTTTACTCACACATTTGATCGAAGAACATTTGCTTGAAGTCCTACGGAATTCATAAGTTCAAATTATCAACTGAATTGCTAGAACACATACAGTTTTATGAATGCTGGTTACTGGCATCGACGGAATAATTAACATTCTATTGATTTTATGAGTGTAAATTTCGCTTAACACTATCCTTTCATCATTCTCATATGAGCGCGTACCATTTCGAGAATCATTCCTGACTTTCGCTGCTGATTGACCAAAACTGATTACTACATTGCTGAATTCTCTAAAATATTTTCTTCCGGCTGCTTGCAATCACTTAGGTGGTTTAATGCTGTGAAGAGCACGATTATCTGATCGTTCGAGACGCTCGATGATAATTTCCAAGTTCTGGTTTACAGTCCAAAATTCTGAGGATTTCAAGATCCTGCAAAGAATGCCTTTGAAATGTGCGAGAAAATGAGTCGTCAGATAGCAATAGTAACGCTGAATAGTAATTACTCTTTGTTATCGTCAACAATACTATAGTCAAAGTAATTTTTTCAGTTGCAATAACA